GCCCTGCCCTCGGCCCAGCGCTGGCCCTGAGCAGGGTCTGCCCCTCAGGCTGGGGTCAGGCTGGAACCCAGATCAGGATCCCTCCTCTGGGGCAGGAAGCCCTCAGGACATGGGGTCCCTAGAGATACAGCTGTGGCTGCCTGTCACCTGTTCCAGCATCTTTCTGTGCAGATCCCATCCTGCTTCTGGAGCAGTTTTGGTGGGACCCCAGGCCATACACTCAGTGAGATTTAGCTGCTCATGGAGCCCCAATTGCTGGAGCCTTTCCCAATGCAGCAAGAATTGAAGGCATGTCTCTTTTATCGTGAGATAAAGGACCCCAGAATCCTGAGCTGCTGGAAGGGATCCATGACCCAGGGACATAAAGTGGCTGTGCAGGGACAGAACCTCCACCCCAAATCAGGGACTGGATCCTCACACCTAGGTCAGGGATTGAATTCCCACTCGAGGTCAGGAGCTGAGTGATCTTGAGATGAACATGACCATGAAATGGACATGACCATGGGATCATTGTGACACAAGATGACTACTACACAACCATGAGATGCCTGTGACAATGAGATGACCACGACATGACCATGACATCGAGACAACCATGAGGTGACCACGGCATGACCACAACCCAGATCCATCTCTGAGTCTCAGGAGGATACCCAGGGTGTTGCAGGGAGTTGTTTTTCCTGACCCTGTGACCTCTGATTTTTGGCTTCATTGGATGGTTCATCCCGTCCCACCCCATCCCTGTCCACATGTTCATGTTGCCCAGGCTGGGACATCTCAGCATCTCCAGGGCCAGTGGGGGATCGGGTCCAGCACTTCAAGCGGCACTGGGACCAGAACTGCAAGGAGCATTTGGAGCTGCCCTCCTCACCAAGGGGATGACCTTGACTCTGGAATGACTTTGACCTCAGTCTGACTCCGTGCTCTCTCCCGCCCCAGTTCCTGGTTCACCACAGGACAGGGGAGTCACCATCAGCTTTTATTTACCCCCCAATAAAAGTTTCGCCTTTGGAACTCCCCAGATCCCACGTGGGACCCCCCAGCATCCAGGGGGCCCCCAGACACCGGGATTCCCTAGCCCCAGCACTCAGGGGACCCCCCACCCCCCAGCCCCCTCAGCCACGCTGCGGCCGCAGCTTCATCTCGGTGAAGGGGATGGAGACGTTGAAGCCTTTCCAGGGGAACCAGTGGATGCCCTGTGGGGAAGGGGGGATTAAAACCCTTGTAGACTTCCAGAGACCTCCCCTGTAAAGTTCCCATAGACCCCCACAGACCAGAGAGACCCCTGCAGACCCTGTGGATCCCTGCAGACCTTCATAGATTCCTATGGGCACTCACAGACCCTCACAGATCTCCACAGACAAACCTCCAGAAACTGATCCCCACAGGCCCTACAGAATCACATAGACCCTGTTTTCCACAGAGCCCTGTGAAACCCTACAGACTCACAGACCCCTGTGGACCCCTAGAGACCCCCACAGGTTCCCTCATATATCCCCAAACCCCTCATAGTCCTAGAGTCCATCTAAAGGCTCCCTAGACCTCCCTATCCATTACCATAGATCCCTACAGCCCTTTAAAACGCCCACCAGCCCCTTGCAAAGCCCCCTTAGACCCCCCACCCCCCAAATTCCCTCATAGCCCCTCCATACCCCCCAATCCCCTACTCCTGGGTCCCCCCTCACCCCGGTACCTGGTGGTCTCGGGGGGTCCCGTAGCGCCCGTTCAGGTTGGCGTAGTGGCAGTTGCGGTACCACCAGGCTCCCCCGTAGGCCACGGCACAGGGTGGGGGCCGGGGCCGCCCCGAGGGGTCCCGGCGGTCCCGAGGGTCTCGGAAGTCCCGGTCCCGTGTCGAGAAGGGGCTGCCCGAGTGGTAGGAGAGGGCGTCCCCTGCGGGGAGCGCTGTCAGCTCCCCCAGGCACCCCCAAACCCACCAGGAACTACCAAAAGCCACCAGAAACCCCAATGCCCCCCGAGGTCCCAGAAGGCACCAAAGATTCCCAAAACACCCCAAGGACCCCAAAACCCACCAGGGACCTCCAAATCCGCCAGGGACTCCACAGACCCCTGCCAGCCAGTGGGTCCCAAAACCCCCAGGGATCCAAAATCCCTCCCGGACCCACAGAATTCCCCGGCGTCCCCGGGAACCCCCGAGCCCCGCTCTGCGCACCGGCGGTGCCGCTGAACGCTCCCACTGTGAGCCGGTATCGCTCCTCGGCGCCGCCGACAGCGAAGTCGCGATAGAGCGCGAAGGCGGCGTCGCGGGCGGTCCGCAGGTCAACGCGCAGCTCCGTGGGGGTCGCGGTCGTCAGCTCGTGCAGCGCCTCATTGCCTGCGCCCCAAAATCGTTCCGGCACCCCCCGACATCCTGCGAGTTCCCCTGTCCCCCCCACCTGCTGCATGTCCCCTGAAATACTGGGGACCCCCCCCCCAAACGCCTGGGGAGCCCTCAAGTTCCCCCTGGACACTTCGAGCCCACCCTGAACTCCTGGACGCTCCCCCACGAAACTCCTGGGGACCCTCCAAGTCCTTCCAGGACCCCTGGGGCCCCAAAACCAGACCTGAATGTCTGGGGACCCCCCCAAGTCCCTCCAGACCCTTGGGCAAACCCCTCGGACTCCTTGGTCAGTGCCTCATTCCTTGCACCCCACAACCTGCCTCCCAATTGCCTGGACCTCCCCCTTGGCCCCCTGGGGAGCCCCCAAATTCTGGGGGAATTATTATTCACCGAATACTCCCTGCTGCCCCTCCAGCAGCTGGCTCTCCTCAAAGTTCCCCCAGTCCCCCAAACCCCCAGAGTGCCTCTGTTGGCCCCACATCCCCTCAAATTTTTACACGTCCCCCCAGCCCCCCAGTGCCCCCCTCACCGAGCCAGAATTCGCCGCTGACGTTGCCGAAGCCGTGGGCATACGACTCCCACCCCCGCCAAAAGTCAGTGCTCCCGTCCTGGCGGCGCTGGAACACCTGGCGGGGGGAGTCAGGGGCACCCCAAAACCCCCCTGACCCCCCCATACCCCTATTTCCCTCCCATAAACTCTGTAGAATGCCCCCAGCCCTTCCCAGTGCCCCCCAGTTCCCCTTCCAGTGCCTCCCCATCACCCCTCAACCTCCCCAATGCCCCCCAACACCCTCTGCTTCTCCTGCAGGACCCCCCTATTGCCCCCAAAGCCCCTCTTTCCCCCCCAGAACTCCACAGAA